GTTTTGCGAGATCTCGCAAAACTTTTGCGAGATCCCGAGTTAGTTTTGCGAGATCTCGCAAAAGTCCGTCTTAATTTCTTTTTCTCCCATGTCCTCTGCGGGGCTCCGTACTTTTTTAATAGAAATCTGCTAAAAAAAAAAAACAAACTTTATGGGGTAACGATGGTAAGGCAAAAAAAATCATAATAAAAAATAGTTATGAATAGTTACGAATAAAACAACAGGGAAAAATAAGAGGAGACGGTTGCAGCACAGTGTGGGGGATTATTTCGAATCACCAGGTCAAATGTGTGTAAGAGAGTGAATCTGAATGATGTGTTTTACTTTCTAAAACTATGGTTGTTTAGCATGTAGATAAAACCCTGCTGCTAAGTGGCGCACTGGTGACTTGTGGGTAGTTAACAGATTAAAATGAATAGAGATGGCATCCAAATATTACATCTGTTAGTTTGTATATTAATCAGTGTTCCTGTAACTTCTCTGTTCACATCAAATTACCCCTACAAAACATTGTCTGTTTAGTCTGACCTCATAGACTGCTCTATGATGGCGTTGAACACATCTTGTTTATTACTTCATATTCTGACTGATAATTGTATGTCCTGCAGGTGCGACGGGATCAGGTCCCTGTCATCTATTACACAAACCTCCTGATCTCCAATCTAATCCAGATGTGCACTGTCATCATTATCGTGGCAAAACCAGATGATCATGAAACCTACATGATGTCTTTTGTTATTTACTATTTCGGTGTCCAGGCCAGTCTTTACTTCAAGTTGTGCATTGCTCTGGAAAGGTACCTGTCTAACTTTCAGTGTGTGTACTTGCATGTGCTTGAGTAATATATTGTACTGTGAATTATCCATATTTTTAGAAATAATATATTCTCTACTGTGAAAATTAAATTATCTGTTTGTCTTGTGCTGCAGGTGTTTTTTCATCACCCGCCCACTGATGGACTTTATGAGGCAAACCAGGAGTTCTGTGCTGGTCTGCATTCTGGTCTGGGCCCTTTGTGTTGTCAGTGTACCTGTCGCCATAGTGTTGCGTAATTTTCTACGAGTCCTTATTTTGATCCTAGTCCCTGCCTTTCTGTTCATCATCTGTTTTGCTGCGACCCTCAAAGCCCTGTGTGCTGCCTCCACAGTGAGCACCGAGGAAAAGCGAAGAATTGTTGGAACTTTGGTTCTGTTGCAGCTTAGTTACTTTCTGATGATCCTACCTGCAATTACTGAGTTAACTTTTGAATTTCACCCACATGACACTGTCAGAGATGTTGTTTTTATCTTGTTTCTACTCAGTCCTTTTATGGACCTGATTTTGTTTTTTCTCATGCAGAAAATGCCCACTGACAAGCGGCTGGCTGGTTCGTGCTGCTGCAGTAGGTGTAGCAGCAGCTGATCATTGTGAGGAAAAAGCAAACGGCTGTTGTACTACAGATTCAAGCAGCAAAAACAATTTTATTTTATATGCTCGAATATGCAGAAAATAGGTTTAAATGTTAAACAAATTTCTTCCAGTCAGTGAATGTTGCAGATAATTTAATTTTTGCTTGATGCATAAAGTTAAAAGATTAAAAATAATAAAACAAGTTTTAAAAAGAGACTTTTTCATTTGTGTTATATGATGGATTATGCAGAGAAACTAGAATTGGTCTAAAAAATCGATTGCTTTATTACCTATTCAGGTTGTAAATCATGTTTTTAAAAAGTAACTAAGTAACTAATTACTTTTGAAAATAAGTAATCAGTAAAGTAACAGGATTACTTTTCGGGGGAAGTAATCGGTAATTAGTTACTGATTACTTTTTTCAAGTACCTTGACCAACACTGATGGACTTTATGAGGCAAACCAGGAGTTAACGTTTGAATTTCACCCACATGACACTGTCAGATGTTGTTTTTATCTTGTTTCTATTCAGTCCTTTTATGGACTTGATTTTTTTTTTTTTTACCCTTTTTATATTCAAAAACCCCTCTAATAATATTTGGAGGGTAAGCAGATGACAGCATACAGCATAGTGTACTGCAGTTCACTTTACGTTGGTCTCAGTCAGTCCTCTGTTTCCCGTCTTCAGCTTGTCCAAAATGCTGCTGCTCACTTCATGGTTTAGCTCCTTTCTGCTTTCTACATCTCTGACCTCTTTATTCAGCTTCCAGGTCAACTGATCAGATGCTTCTGACTGTGTCTCACTCTTAATTTAAATGCAGAGGAGATCGAGCGTTTTCTGTGCCCCCAAACTGTGGAACAGCTTTCCTCTCACAGTCAAATCTGATAGAAACAACCCATATTGTTCTGGTTAGTGTTGAAAGCTGCAGTCAGTAGTGTGGTAACAAAAGTCTCTTCACTCTTTAAATTTCCCATCTTTAACTAGAATTATATTTACTCACAATTTACCTTCAACACAGCACTAGAGCTTGTTCCTGTGCTGCCATGATGAGCGCCTCTATGCTGTCTTTCAGTCCAGTTTTTTATCTGACAGTGGTACATGCTGTGCAGGATTAATGTCGGTGCTGTAGAGCCTGGTGGTGTGGATCAGTAAATCAGTGCTTCAGTCATTCCTGACATAGAGCTTAATGTCATCCAGAAGCTAATCCCTCCATTCCAGCAGTTTTTGCAAATCAAATTATGATCTGAATGTGATGATGTGCCAATTTTGATTTGGGAGAAAATAGATCTGAACCAAACAGGCGCTCATATAATCCTAAGCTATCAGCCGTACAAAGTTTGCAAATTATTTTCCATTCCTGTTTTTCCAGAGAACCTAGTGACATCACATGTGCAGTTCTTCTGTATTTATCAGGAAAGATCAGTTATGCAAATCTCAATTATCCTACAGCTTCAGGCCAACAGCTTGTAGTTGTAAGATAAGACAACTCTTTATTGTCATTGCACAGTCATAGCTTGTACAACAGTACAACGAAATTGGAAGCTGTCCAACGCAACACAGTAACTTAACTTAATAAATAAAAAGAATGAGTGTATGGTTATGGCACGTTATTATTATTATTGTTGTTGTTCAGGAGG